CAATGGTAGGCTTGTTGATCATTGTAATGAAGAAGTTTAATTGATTGAGAAAGTTTTTATGAAGTATTTTAAGAGAATATTTCTAGATGTTTGAATGGTACAATGAGCATGTTTAGTACTTTCAATAACTTGACAGGCAAATAGCATTATTATAGGTTCCTGAATGTGTGGTAAGTTGAATTGTAGAAAAAGAGGCAGATAGACATATACTTTTATTAAGTTCATAGTTTTATAACTGGATTTTACCAGCAAATCAGCCTCTTGGACAAATAGCTGGCTAGAGTTGTGCTCTGGTTTGCTTTAGAAAATTGTTGCATACATGAAGTTTATTTTCTGTTCGGGATGTGCAGAGAACTGGAATCTGTTGTCGTTACTTGGTACCTTTTCCCTCTGCTCAAGTCATTCAACATTGTCAACCTGGGCTACCATAGATATTCAAGACTTTGTTTCTCTGACCCCTGAGCTTGGTCTCTCTGGGTGAAGTGCTTGCATGACAAATTGACTTGGGTCTACCTGAATTTGCACAGCAAAAACTTCAGGCTCAACATTCAGTTGACCGTCTGGTTTAGTTTGATACCTGAAAATTTTTGCCCACACTTCATTCCAAGAATTTTTTCTGCCATCAACAACCCTTTTTGTTCCCTAAGGTGGGGTGAGGGGAAGGCTGAAGGAGCTTCAAACCAGATAGTTCTTATCTAGGCAAAGCTTGACACTGCCACTTAACAAAGACCTTTGGTTCATCAACAAGCTAAATCTTTTCTACTCGCTTTAAGTAGCCTGGAAACTGGTCTTATAAAGGAAAGTCAGAAAGAATGAAAATAGGTGACACAAAGAAAATGATCAGTCCACTTGCTTTGCTAGACTGGAATGACACTCAACTAAAAAGTATCAATTCCAATTCAAGACAAGCAAAAAAAATTCTAGGATTAAGTTTAGCACCTTTCTCCATAATTTGATGTCCTTGCTGTTTTAAGAAATCAGTAAGAGAAGATCATTTTCTTGCATCTCGAAGCTTGATTTTCTTTTCTACCGAATTCCACGTTTGGAGGTGCCTTAAGGTTCGCACTTGTATGTACATTTATGTGGAGAGATCTGATTATCCTGCTTGAAGATATGTTATGTGCTTCAAAACCTTCCGTAGGAGTAAGGTTTTGTATGAATAACTGATTTCAGAACCTTGTTTACTAGAAGCTTATAAGGGAGCTTTGAATTTGATTGTTAATTTTTAACAAAATTGTCAGTGGAGCTATTGATTTGTCTGCCTGTTTACTACTGATAAAAATTCAAAAACATGATTGCAATGGGAACATCATACCATCTTTGGAGTTTTAGATTCTCAGGTAAAGTTTCTGACTCCCCTTATCTACCAAAAATTGAAGCAGGCGATAAAGAAGACTTTCTAATATTGCATTAATGCCACACCTTGGTAGGACTGCAATTTGCACTTTACATTCTCGTCTCGTGGTTCGACTAATTTGTCATTCAAGTGGTTAAAAGTTTATTGCGTCCCTCATTCAAGAATCATGACGTCTAGTCTTGCAGACTGACTGCTTGGATCCTTGCTTGGAGATGAATCTGGTTCTGATGGACAATTGCGATTTGCAGCGCATCTTTGTGTTCTTTATAGCTTCACGATGCCAGTGATGTGGAAAATTACAGTAGATTCCACTGTCATCCTATTACTGTTTGTCATTCAGTTGGTGTTGTTGAGTCATAGTTACAATTTGCTTAACCATGGTCATGTTGTGTTTCCATGACTTGTAAGTCATGAAGTTGCCTTTTTAAAAGACCTGTTTTGATTTCACGGAATCTGTTTCGATTTTGTAGTGTATATTATTACAGGGTATGATATGGCAGCTTAGCATAGGAGTAGACTAGTCTCCACTTTGACCCTTATATCTCTTTTGAATGTAATAGTCTTTTGGGCTGTTTACCGATTTTGGTGATTTTGCAGGTATGTTGCTGTTGGAAATGAACCTTTCTTGGCCACATATAATGGAACCTTCCTAAGAACAACTTACCCTGCTTTACAAAATGTTCAAGCTGCCCTGATAAAAGCAGGTATTAGCAATCAAGTGAAGGCCACGGTTCCCCTTAATGCTGACGTCTATGAAAGTCCAAATGGCTTACCTTCTGCTGGTGATTTTCGAGCTGATATCCATGATTTTGTGCTTCAGATAGTCAAGTTGTTGAGTGATAATGGTGCCCCCTTTACTGTCAACATTTATCCATTCATCAGCCTTTACATTGACCCCAACTTCCCAGTTGACTATGCCTTCTTTGATGGAAATGCATCACCTGTGAATGATGGGGGCACAAACTACAACAACATGTTTGATGCAAATCATGACACTCTTGTGTGGGCTTTACAGAAAAATGGGTTTGGCAACCTTCCTGTTATAATTGGAGAAATTGGTTGGCCCACTGACGGAGACCGGAATGCTAACCTAGATTATGCACGACGGTTCAACCAAGGTTTCATGTCTCATGTGTCAGGTGGAAAAGGAACGCCGATGAGGCCTGGACCCATTGATGCATATCTCTTTAGTTTGATTGATGAGGACGCCAAGAGTATTCAACCAGGGAACTTTGAACGTCACTGGGGAGTGTTTTATTTTGATGGTCAACCAAAATACACTCTTAACCTTGGGACAACAAATTCAGGTTTGGTCCCTGCAAGAGGTGTACAGGAACTGGAAAAGAAGTGGTGCATATTGAAGCCGGATGCCAAGCTTACTGATCCACAAGTGGCTCCCACGGTGAGCTATGCATGTTCACTTGGAGACTGCACAAGCCTCGGATATCAGACATCTTGTGGAAGTTTAGATTCTCAGGGTAACATTTCATATGCATATAACAGCTACTATCAGATACACAACCAGCTTGATAGTGCCTGCAAATTCCAAGGTCTTGCGACCGTCACACGATCAGATCCATCAGTTGGAAGTTGCAAATTTTCCATACAGATTAAGCCATATTATGGGGCTGCTGCACACAGATTAAGCAGCATTGAGAAAACACTCTGTTCGATTCTTTTTCTAGTTCTCTTTCTGTGGACGACGCAGTGAGCTCTAACCTAATCTCTAGCAATCTTGTTGACTTCTTAGGAGTAGATGTTGAAGCTGGTTGGAGAATCAGCAAAAATGTACTGTTAAGAAGTAAATTTTTTCTAGTTTGAAGTAAATTCCAGCTAGCTACTGTTAAGAAGAAGATCATTGTTTTGGACAGATGCATGAAGGCTAGCATTGATTCCAACTTCTTATCTGCTTTCTCGGTTCTACTTTCCATGACAGATGTTTATTCATTCCTGAATTTCTTCTTAATGCAGCCTAGGTTATGTTTTACTTTGCATCCTAATTTTACTTTGTGGTAACCTAGACTGCCTAGATTGTACTCTCCTGGAATATCCAGTGCTTCTAGCTCATGGCCTTTTATATTTCGAACTCAGATTTGGGCTGTTGAATAAATTGACACCATGAATCAATTTATCTCTCCAACCATAGACACCCCTGTGTATAGCCCAATAGTGCTAAACTTGTTTCCACACATTTTCTGAAAAATTACGCTTGAAAAACAAGTGCTCAACAGGCTCAGCTTGTCTTGCACATAGCAAACAAGAACTAATTACTTCACACTAGCCTTTGATGAACATAAAAGATGATTTGATGTACGTGAAGTGAAAGAGTAATTGAGAAATGCGTTCAACGAAAATGTCAAGTTTTTATTTTTTTGGAGAAAAATGGTAATCCAAACAAAAGTGTTTCTTGAAAGATAAGGATGAACATGAAAATCGTCAATCTACGAGAAAAGAAAGTTTGATGCCTATTTCCATATTCTGGATATAATAAAATTGGCCAAAAAAAAGGTAAATTTTAAAACTAGATGAAAGTTGTAAATTTGAGTCTCCAAATTTGCACGTTCATTTCACCAAAAATGTCTAATTACGTACGTAACCTGAATTACTACGAAATCTTTTGCATTGATGGATGAATTCTAGAAGAAATTGAATCTACCTGCAAGGAAAAACATTTCAACCTGGTGACAAAATAACCTTAAGAAAAGGCGGGGAACAGGCATGGTGCCTATCATGAATCATATGCATTGGTAGCGAGCATTGAAGCTATGACCTACCATTAATATGCTAGAAAAGAACTTTGGCATGCTTCTCCCTAATTGCTTCTTTAGTATGGGATCTGCTGCGAGCCTGCGATTTTGCTTTCCAGTCAGATCAAATGCATCAAGTCCTTTCTTGCCTTAGTCCTACCCGTTTTCCAAGTTGATCTCCCTTGGTGTTGAAGTCGGCAAAATTAATTGTCACTTCCAGTCATTATGGATATCCCTTATTTTAGTTGGTATCAATTTGCATGAAGCCGTATTATGGAGCAGCAGATGACATGATTACAGCGGCAGAGCCAGCAAAAATTTTCGGTGGGAACTCTAAAATTTTTTACCTACTGTTTTTCTAATATTTTAAGGAAAAAAAATATTCACAAATAAGTACAAATGATGCATATATTTCATGAAAAACATAAAAAGACAAACTCAAAATTATTAATGTACTAATAATTTTATTTCAAAAAGCAAACTAAACCATTTACAATTGCTTATGACGAGTTTTCATATTTTGATAACGGTTTACAATCTTTTCATTTTGAATTTCACGAAATATATTTTTCTCAATATAAGTAACTAAATAATTATTTATCTAAGTGTCTTCCGTTCTATTTTGTAACCGATTCTTCACTATATTAATAATTGAAAATTTTTTTTTACGGTAGCTATAATAACAGGTAAAATCAAAGGTGACTTTAAAAACATATAAACTAATAGATACACAAAACTTCAGAGGTACACTTGAAATTATATCAAATTTTTATAAGTATTATAGAAATTTAAGCAGTGTAAATCTGCCACTGCATGATTACTACAAAATGAGTCAAGGTTCAATTATTTTGTTAAAGGGGCTGCCCTTATTTTTGTCAAAATGAAGTTTTCTTTGATCATGCTTCCAAACTTTCAATCCTGCTCGACATCTGCAATTAACAAATTTATGGTCATTCAACAACAGTACTGATAAGATTGCTAGACATCACCTCTGGTCCTGGCTTATAAAGCAATGGATAAAGAAGCTTCAAAAGCATACATCCCGTGGAATGGAGGATCCAGAAGGTAAGAAAGCAAAGATGTAATTAGAGTTCATGCTCTGAAAGCAAACCTAACTACGTGCCCTTGGCTCTTTTATCCTTCCTGTGTCTGAACAATTTCATTTCTTCACGTCTTTGCTGTTCAAGAACAAGTCCAAGCCTAATATATTCCTGACTACGAGTGCGCATTTGAGCACGTTTGCATGCTGGCAAGAAGCAAGAAACTTCTTGATGGAATGCAGAAGAATTTGGACCTGACCGATGAATGTATGGAAGCATCAATTAAGTAGGACACTGGAGAGATTTGGTGACAGTTCAAGAAGAAGTGTTTGGTATGAATTGGCTTACTTGGAGGCCAGTAATAAGATCAGTAGGGGTGATAGAATTTAGCAAAATTGCTTTGGATTCAGGTTTCAAATGCAACAGTGCTGTTAGGTATACTCTTGAGAATGTTAAGCAACAGAACAGAAATCCATGGAATGATGCTGAGGTTTAACCAAGGTCATAAAAAATCAAGCAAGATATCTTTTTCTGTAATAGAATATGACTTCTTGATTTTTATTTTTTCTAAAAGATAAAAGCAGCTTCCTGTAATTGCTATAAAGAAGTTTCTTGAAGTAGATCACCACATGTTCATAATCAACTTCAAAATAGGGTTAGCCAGTTCAGCCCTTTTCTCAAGAACTGGATATGTGATTCAGAAAACCGTTTCAAATTTGCATTTTGTTTTTGGGTAAGTTCAAAATTGCGTCTCGAAGTATAATTATACATATGATTAATACGCATACAGCTTCTCGATGGCATATAATTATACATATTGATCAAGAAAACTAAGAAATTTTTATTTAAAAATTTACACATTAAAAATTGGTCAAATAATTTAAAAATAATATTTTTGTAAGATGTAATCTTTTTGAAAACAAAAGAAATTTTATTCATAGTTTTTACATGAAAACTAATGCATTATCAAATTTAAAAGTTAAGAGCATATGACTGAAAATTATTTTAGAAAACCAGGTAATCATTGGATAATGTTAACCAGTTTTTTCAATTTAATCCATTTGTAAAAAGTAAAGAGGGGATAACGTAAATACACAAGAAGCTTGAAACTTCTTTGACGCTTTTCGCCAAAAAAAAAAAAAAAAAAAGCAGAAATTATTTTTTTCCTAATAAAGTTTTTGAGTATTGGTATCCTTTTTTTTTCCCATATCATAGCATTAATACTAACATTGCATACTCCTAATAAGGACCCAAACAATTTATTTCAGTTAATAAAAGAATACTACAAAAAAAAAAAGGAGTAAAACCCAACTATCTAGCACAAGGGTAAGAAAAATACAAACAATAAAAAGGGAGGGGTTAAATCGACAACGTACCCTACATACTAAATCCACACCCTATACACTTATTAGACTCTTATGCCCTTGACTTTTCTACATTAAATCAACACTTTTTTTATGATATTTAATTATCTTGCTATGTAATAAAGAGAAGGAATAGTAACATCATTTGCCAGAAAAAAAAATTCACACCTAAATCTCTTGTTTAAGTCTTATATAAAAATTCCTTCTCTTGTTTCTCTCGTTCCAAAATTTATGTTTCTCTAAAGTTGTTTTAATTTTTTTTCTCTTCCCTCTTATGACCTACTATTTTTTTTAATTAAACTTTCTTCCGAACTTAAATGTAATCAAATAGTAAATATTAGTATGAAGTCAATTTGATTGCATATTTCACCTTGAAACGTGCTTGATTTTAATTTTATGGAAATTGAAATATGTGAACATTTTTTTATTTACATGCTTATTAGTAATTGAAAATTTTGGATTGCTAAATTAAATTTTAAATTACTAAATATTCTTAAGCCCTTGTAAAATATTCAAAAAATCTGTTCTTTTACAATGTAACCATTTGTTTTTTTCTTTTTTTATTATATAATTATATGTTTCTTGAAGCTACATGAAGCATCAAATAAACTTAAAATCTAAGGGCAGAAGTGTCTAATAAGTGTATAAGGTGTGGATTTAATATGGCGGGGTGTGGAGTAGTCCCTCCCAATAATAAAAAAAAAAAAAATACTACTGCTGTTTTATCCTAATCTAATCCCGATTTAAATGGTCTTCCACCAAGCTATATTAGTAGTTGGAAACTATACCCCAACTATAAGCTGTAGTATTTTGGAACACCATATGCATACATGCACGTTTGAAAATTTTTTAAATCCAATATTGGAAGTTTGAAGAAAGTTATTATCTTTGAAGCCCGCTGAGAGATTGAATTGTAGGACAAATAAACGTTCAAATTCAAAGGGCATCAAACACAACACAATTATTACGGACAAAAAAGAGTAGGAACTTAAAAGCTCGGGTTCCAAAACAACAAAGAAGGTGGTAGAGTGCATGATCCACGCACCAAGAACACTATCTGGGACACTTCCTGACTGAAAAATTCTTGATTGCAAGGCCTTATTCTGTTAGAACATATAACTGTCAGCATGCATTTCAACAAATTTACTCAACAAAAAGGACTGAGAACAAAACCATGACATTTCAAATTATTTAAAACAAAGTCATCAGCAGAATTATCAACAAAGAATAACAAGTTCTACTCCATAAGTTACAGAACTTGGAGTTTTGGAAAAAAATTTAAAAATAGATTCATAAGAACTAGCAGAGCTAAAATTACCTCCTTAAGAAGGTTTATCTCAGTCTCGGATAACCCTCTCCTGCATAATTAATAAAGTAAATAACCTAGGATAAGAATATTAAACATGCTCTAATTTCCTAAAAGAGGAATACACTTAGCTCAGAGTAACCAATATTCAGGTCAAGAAAATTATGAGCAGAAATTAACATCACTAAGCAAGTGTAACTTCATTCTATGTACAAAAGCAAAGGTCATCTAGATGCAACACCTAACAGGAAAAGCCAATACGTCTATGGTCAATTTAGATTATTTTAAGTTCATGACTCATGAGTTTCAAAAATATTTAGTAAGATATAGTATGAGCCAGTTTGGCTACATCATAGTTTGTAGAGGAAACTTAGAACTGGATTTACTAGCCTTCTAAACTGTCAAAAGCCATCATAATCTCCAAATCAGAAATAGACATGCCTGTAGCCATATTTAGTTCTTTTTCCCTCGCGCTTAGGATTCAAGATAAATATGTTGTAAGCATCTCCTAAATGCAAATATTCCACAAGACTAGTGAAGAGGACACCCATCATATCCACATCGACCTGCCAAAGACCAGCTACATCATCCCTATGGAAAAGATAAGAACAAAAAGGTTATAGAAGAATAGACATGACGAAAGATCACTATGGAACCAAAAGTAATGTTAAGTGTACCTAAATTTGAAGAAAAGAATAGATACCTTGTATCCAGCACATCATCCTTGCGTCCAAAGACATCTATTGCATGCTCAAATATAGACGTGACTTTCTCACCCAGTTCAATGCCATGAACAGAGAAGCTACACAAGAATCAAAAAGAATCACTAGATTTTCTAAACATCATGAAATTAAAATCTTTTAATTACATCCTATAAGTGCTAATATTTCAATGAACAATTAAGAAGAAATTATACTTGTAGTTTATACGACTGACTAGAGGAAGATGATGCCGTTGTTCTCTATCTATGCTTATCTTGTAAAATGGGGTCAAAACTTCACCAATCTGAGGGATCCTCGAATGCTCAAAGACGTGATCAATTTTTGTGAACCAGCGCTCCAGTTCTTCAGCATGTAACTTAAATGCTACATTAGAAAACCAAAATTTGATGTATAAGACCACTGCTCTTGCAAAAATTACCCATGAGACCATGTTAATATAATCAGTTGTTCATAAAATTTACCTTGATTCCCCTTCCCTTCAAACCCTATGAAAATGAAATTCACAGGGACAGGAAAGTACATTGCATCAACCTCAAAAAGCTTCAGATAGTGTCCAATAGTGCCTGAGGTATAAAGAGGAAAGAAGCTTATCCAAATATATTCAACTGGTACAGCATAACCAATTCGTAGGTGAAATTTGGTCCTATGCACAGTAAGAAATCGTAGCTGCATATTTTAAATGCCCTCTAAAAAGAGAGTACTGTCAGTTAGGATGCAAACACAAATTACTTTGCAGGACTACGAAGACAACAGACTCACTTTGTATAGCAATACAATTTCAGAGAAACCAATGCTGGCAAAGATTCCAAAAAGCATGCCGCTTTCAAGCAAAGTATTGCAAATTTTCAATCCATCAAGCAAGCAAAGTGACCAAAAACAGGTTCTAGAGTTGTACTAATAAGGCAATAAACTGCTTGACAACCAACTTTCATATCACTTCCCATCCCTCCCCCACCACATTTGCAGCTGACAGTAAAAAAATTGATCAAATGGTACAGAGTCAGTCAGAAAACAGTTTAGCGCTCAATAACTTTTCTAAGGCACCACAAGGAACTCATTAATAATTTGCATAGCCTAAGGCATACGTTCAGGAAGACCTATGTGTTGATATCTCAAAGTTCAGCATGTATCAGTCTCCTATATGAGACAAAGATAGAAAATAATAGATGCGTCTACAAACTTAAATAAACAGACTTAGCATGCATCCTTCTCGTTTCTCCTACAACTGCAATCCATCTTTCTAAGATTGGTTTTAAGTAAAGATCATACAAACACTATGTGAAAGATGGGGAAAGTACTACTCATATCTGACTAAAAAAGGCCTCAACTCTGACCTCTGAAAGATCACTAGAGCTTAGAATAACACATGAAAGAATGTATTTCCTCAAACTGAAACTCCATGCATTTTAATTACAGCTAGAATAGTTGCCTCCTAAAATTTTATCTATGTGGGTATGTAAATTCTTCTAAATGATATTAGATTACAAGAGAATTTAGTTATCAAGCAAAAAATCTCTACTCATTCCCAGTTATAGAAAAACAAAAAATTTCTACTCATTCCCAGTTATAGAAAAATACTATGTAAACTACTCGACCTCTAAAGCTGTAACTGTACAAAAGGTCACAAGTCAACTGAGATGAACTAAAAACTCCGCTAGCCACAAGAAGCCGGTTGTACTGATAACCCTATGGATGAGGGAAGAGTAGCAGAACATGAAAGAGATACGTTAATCGGTTAATCGGTAAAACAGGACAAAAGAATAACCGTGCAGGACACAGGATGGTATGCGATCACATAAACCCTAAAGAAAGACAGCCAAGTTCAGACAAAAAGAGAAAAAAAAAAGGTAAAAGAAAAGACAAGTACCTGCCTTGGTGTAATTAGCAGCACTCTCTTTGTCAGGTTTAGATGATTCCAAATCATCAAAATCTGCGCTCATCAAATTAAAAAAAAAAAAAAAAAAGAGCATTCAAGAAAAGGCCATTTTCCAATTCCAGAACTAAAATTACACAAAATCCGAGAAACATCAACATACCAGTACGTAAAACAGACTCGCTCCAAAACCTACTCTTCTCTTTGAGGTTGAACAATGAAAACACAGATGATCGTCCACTTTTACGCTGCCCAACTCGTGACCCATAGGATCCATTCCCCAGTAACTATGAATAAAAATGTTTCCCCAAACAATCAGTAAAACCCATACACACGATGAAGAAAATTCTCAACTTATAACATTCTAAAATCTTAACAAAATCCTATTCTGTTGTAAAGTTAATTCAAATCAATTGAATTCCAATGTAAACTTAAATTGATTTTCAACCAGAGTTTCCATAATCAACTATCAGTAACACCATAATCCTATATTTAACAACATACAAAGTCGAGCACGGCGCCAATAATAAATGAAGTGAAAATCAGAAATTATTCTAAAAAAACAGAGGAAAAAATATACATGCTTTCAACTAATGCAAAACAGGAACCTAATTACCACCCTACAAGCAGCAAAACAGATACAACTTCATCAATCACCAAAAAAGAAAAAGAAAAACTCTAAAACATGAGACTTTCAATCAGAATTAAACTAATAAAAGTCAAAAATAGAAATAGGTCGGGCGGAATTAGAAAAGGTCGCAGAAAATCAGTGATTTGGCAAGCAAAACGGAGCTGAAAAAGCCAGCAATTCAAAGCGAAATTAAGAGACGAAGGAATTGGATTAATACCAAAATCAAGAGGAAGAAGAAAGAGAATGATCGATTGAAACGACGTCGAAACATCAGGCTTGGCTGTGGATCTCTCTCCGCTACACTGAAATGCGTGCTCGGCTTCTGTCAATGTGAGAGGGAAAAGCGAGAAGAGACTATTGAAGACGACCGGAGACTAACGGCAATAGATTAAGGGAAAAAAAAATTATTATTGTTTTTGGGTTAGTTTGGAGGATTGGGTTGGGCTTCCGGGAGACAGCCGGACGGGTTGTTTTGGAATCTAAGGCTCATATAAGGTGCCCAATTTGAACTATTCTCTTTTTTTGAAAAAAAAAATTATTGAGCATTTTTTTTAAATGAGTAAATAAAACTGCAAACAAGTCAAGTCGAGTCTGAAATTTGATCTAAGTCTCAACTTAATTTTATCGAATTCGACTTTTGACTCGAACTGCTTGCGATCGTATACAGCCCTACTAGTAAACAGGCATGTAAGATTGTACAAAAGACTTCAGCAAAGCTCTTTCTTTAGTTTTTTTGGATAATCAGAAGGATAATTACATATCAAGCGGTAATTTGTTTGAGAAAGAGAGGCGCATTCCAAATTTCTGCTTTCACATTTGAAGTAGTTTGAGCAAAATTTGTGGACCAGCATATCTAATTTTTCACAAGATCTTCACAGGAGATATTTATATGAAACCATTATAAAAATGTGCCGTACAGTTATAAATATGTTTTTTTAGCTAGCACAAAATGGTCATTCAGACTATAAATGGTGTCGAGAGGAGATATAAGCGTAGGAAATCATGTGTTCTTGCCTCTGCAAAAGGGCGGAGGATATCTAGATGTGCTCACCAGTTCAGTGGGATGCTATAATCATTTTTTTTCAGCAATGATAGACTTTGTATTGAAGAACAAAAGATGTATACTTATATGAGCAAACGCTCGAGTGATTTCTATACAATAGTGCTAGACACACTGAGGATTGATCCATACCTCATCTTGACAGATACCTATGGCGTAATCACTAATCAATTTACATCTAGAATCTAGACTCCTATCTAAACAAAAGGAGCATTTCTGGAATAAGGACCTCAGGTCGTTAATGTCATCAATTATAGTAGCCGTTCTGATGCCCTTAGTCTTGCTTTCAGTTATCTCCTTCCACAGCTCAGTGATAGGGATATGAACTTTAACCTTCTGCAACAATGCTGTTGTCTGGCCTTGATGATGGACATTTTAACAGCTTCAATTCAATCTATAAATTTTTGCAATTGTTGGGAAGAACTAGAGAAGCCACAGACAGATTAGATGGGAATTGCAAGATCACATTGCATTTACAACAGATCCTCATTTACCATAGATTTTAAAAAGACTGTAATGAATGGAATTTTAGATGAATACAAGAGAGTATTACAAGTGGTCACTCAGATGGCTAAACAAGAATGAGCAGAATTCAGGTAGCGGATGATAACGCTACTATAGCTTGAGCACTGGCTGAAACAGGCAAGGCAGGATGGATTTACCTCCACTCATGTGAGCTAAAAATCAACACGGCTGCTGCAAGATTGAGGGGAAGGGAAGCAGGAACCTTTGAACAAAGGACACAGCAATCCTATTGCAATCAAAATGGTTGATAATCAAAGCAAATGTGGAAGCATTTTGGAATATATATATAGAGTTGAAGCTCAAATTCCATGCAAATTGGGAATTGAGAAACTATCAACCTTAATAACAAAATGTTCAAAATTTGCTACTTGGCACTTTTTCGTTTCTTTTGGTGGTGATTAGTATCACCCCTTCTAATGGTGTTTGAAACATCAGATAATGTTTGAACACTTGTGTTAGTATAGAATAATCTTTTGGATAACACAAATCAAGGAATGAACATGGAATCTTTGGACAAAAGTTGCAACTCTTAGTTCGTGCCAGTCCCATCTATAAAAAATCGTGTAAGAGGATGATTTGTTACAGAAAATCGCTTTATTACACTCTAGAATTCTCTACAAAAACACTCTAGTTCAAGCAGGGTTTGTATTACTTAATGCAAGAGTAAAAGACAAAACAAATTTCAAATTATCCTAAACATATTTGTCCAAGTTCTATTGTACACAATTATTGAACAAATAAAGCCTAAAGAAAGAGATTTCGAATCACGATTTGAATCCTTTGTTTTGCGTATTTATCTTTGAACTGTTCAACCATTTTTTTTTTTTTTTTTGTAATATCCCTTACAGTATTATCCTAAAAAATATTTTCTTGAATAATTTTCATTCCAAACAAACAAAATTATACTCTCTCCGTCCCACTTTGATAGTCTTGTTTTCCTTTTTCGTCTGTCCCAAATTGTAGTCTACTTTCCAATTGAAGAATGTAGTTGTATTTTAATTTTCCTAAAATGCCCTTATTCAATGTAAGTTGTTGTTACTATAAACCTACCACATTTAATGAGAGTTGATTCTTTTTTTACTATCAATTCAAGTTCCCATAAAGTTGTACTCTATTTAATGTAAGGGTATTTTAGGAAAATAGCAATCTAAATTTACTTTTCTAACAAAGTTAACTACTTTTTCTTAAATTGTGTGGAAAAAGAAATAGGACTATCAAAGTGGGACGGAGAGAGTATAACACAAAGTGAGATTTAAAGCGTATCTACCGTTACACGCTCTTTCCAGAATAGGATCATAAATTGGCATAAAACCTAAAAGCCATCCGTTCTCCAACAGTAACGGGACGAAGAAGGCTTCGCAAATCATAATCAGGCAAAGGCCCCCCTCGGTTAGCTCGGGTGGCCTGTGTAGCCTCTTTAGGTGAGACAGGTCTGGGGTTCGACCCTGAGTTTGAGCAACCGGGGTATCTTCCTGGGGATCGGTGGGGCCCGCTCTCCTCGGGGTTGGGGGACTAGTCGGGTGTAGGCCCGGACACCCCCAACTGAAAAAAAAAAAAAAAAAAAAAATCATAATCAGGCAAAGTACTCCGTAATAACGACGTCGCGGTAGCAATCAAACCTGTCAAGAAAAATCATGCGAAAGCTCCAACCAGTCTTCTTCAGACTCTGCAGCACAAAGCATCTTTCTGTTTTTACGTTATTCTCACTTTCTTTTATACCAACTTTAAACATTTTCTTTTTATCTGTTTCTCCCACAACCCTCTTTCTCATTTCTTCATCTCCACCTTTACTTTGCTTTATCTCAGCAACTTTGTTGTTTTTATGACAATAATAGAAAGATAGGTTGCTGTTACCTGTTGTGGAGGATAGATGCTTGGCCTGCACCAGACAACTAACAGTAGTGTGTGATTTTTTTTTTTTTTTTCGATACAGGAGTGTCCGGGTCAATTCTTACGGGTCCCGACTAATCCCCTGCGGCCCGGGCTCGGTGCCCCAATCCGACCCTAGCAGAGTTGAGACTCGAACTCGGGACCTCTCGGTCCCTGTGAGAGGAGGCTACCGTTGGACCATTCACGCGGGGCCAGTAGTGTGTGATTACATAAGCTGAAATTCGAAGTTGAAAGTTATACATTGATGATACTTTATATTGATGGATTCCATTCATCATTTCGTAAAACTTTTTTTGCGTTAGTGTGTATACATTCTGGTTTATGTCTATAAATTGTACATCTAACGCATTGATTGAAAAACGCGTCCGTGAGATAAGCAAAACTATATTTAAAAAAATTTTGCGATCCGAACACTTATTAAATAGCTCTATTTGGATTGGCTTATTTTTTAAAAATAAGCTTTTCAAATACAATGTTACAGTAATAGACAAACGAAAACAATTCAAAAAATATCTCATCCATACAATATATCAAATATTTTAAAAAACAGTTTTTTTGAAAAGCAAGTTTTTCAACTACAAATGCTACAGTTTGGATTGGTCATAATAACAAGTTTTTGAAGAAAGAGAACCTGTCTGTTTGGATTGGTTATTTTTTGAGAAACAAATTTTTGAACTACAAATAAAACAATCTCAAAAATATCAAAAATACAAAAAAAATATCAAAAATACAAAAAAAAAGCAGTCTCAAAAATATAAAAAGTAACTTCAAAAACACCAAAAACATAAAAAAAAACCTTAAAAAAATACCAAAAATACAAAAAAAAAACCTAAATTCATCTACAGTAAAAATTTTTCAACTATATTACTACAGTAAAATATTTTAAAAATATCCCTAAAAATGTTAATATAAACAAATAGTAAAATATTTCAAAAACATGTAAAAAAAAGCTAATTCAAACGAGTAAATTTTTACAGAGAATATTCCATCATGCTCGTTAATCTCAAGCTAACCTGGCTTTCCTTTTTTTTTTTTATTCGAAATAAATAGTGTACTTATCCTCATCAGAGATCTCCATGACCGAAGAGATAGCTGCTGACGTTTCTTTCTTTCTTCTTTCTTTCTTAAAAGATGCGGACTTATAACTTATTCCAGTTTATTTGTGGCCCCAAAAAGAAAAACATAAAAGAAAATACTCAGTAGTACCCACACGGTCTCTCTCTCTCTCTCTCTTCTGTCCTTGTTGTCAAGAAGTGCTTTTGAGTAGACAGCCGAACAGTTGCAGCACATAAGTTAGATTCTTGACGTCGTCATGTCGTACTCCAGAACATATCCTTCCGGAAATGGGGCAGGGATGCAACAGCGGTTAATGGCCATGATTTGATCTCAAAATTTTGTGCGTTTGAGATTATAAGTTGTAACTCGATTTCTACGGTACGTGTGGGTTTCACAAAAATTTGTTCTAAAATTACGCGATGTGCAAAAAAATTACGCGATGTGCAAAAAAAGTTACGCGCAGTTGATAATGACCAAAACCGCCTTCTTCATTAGCCCCCTTCATTACTTCTCATTCATGTTACTACAGGTAGGCACTAAATCTCTTTTCTCTGTCTCGTTTTGGTCTGAAATCTTTTAAAATATTAATACCGTTACCACTAGGCAGAGCACTTTTAGCACTAACTTTCCCTTTCGCATAAATACTCTATGTAATCCTCATAATGGTCCAATGAGGCATTAACTTCACTTTTTAGATACTCTGCTCCAAAACCCATTTTTCCATTTTCCCAAAAAGTTTCATATATCAAGAATTCAAATCTGGACTGGATCACTACTACTTACCGTGCTGTTTAGCTGGTTCTTGAACTTGTTAAGCCCTCTATAGCTTTCTTGTGAACTCTTTTTTTTTTTTTTCGTATTCTCTTGGTTTCTATCTGATTAAAGCTAGTATATGAAGTAATTTAGCTCTAACCAAGCTGGTTAATTTCATTTCTTGTTGATGTAAAATTCCTTTCTTTCCTACTGTGTCACTATTCTGGAATCCTAGAGTTTTCAGATCAGATGTTGGATATGTATTGTGTTTCTTGCCATTATTTGACCTCTTTCTCCATCTGAGCACCCTATTTAGGGGGTCAAGATTTGAGCTTTAAATCTCAGTTGTTCTGCTTCAAGTATCCCCCGTCATCTGAGCTGCAGAAACTAAGTCTACTCCAGTTTTTACTTCTTTATACACCTGGTTCAAAGGAAATAATGGGGTTTTCTAGGGCACGTGCGATGTTAGTATTGCTGGTTTCATTGCTTCCCATGGTCTTTCCAGTGAATGGGATAGGTGCCAACTGGGGCACGCAGGCAACTCACAGGCTGCCACCTGATATAGTTGTGAGGATGCTGAGAGAGAATGGAATTCAAAAAGTGAAGCTTTTTGATGCTGATTATGATACATTGAAAGCTTTGGGTAAGTCTGGGATTGAAGTCATGGTTGGCATGCCTAATGACATGCTCGCACCTATTGCTGGTAGCATGAAGGCAGCTGAAAAATGGGTATCAGAAAATGTCTCATCCCATCTCAGCACCAGCAATGTTAACATCAGGTAGACCTATGCTAATACCTGGCATTGCTCGATTCTGCTGAAGCAACGTGGAAAAGTTTTTATCTTTTCTTGGATTCAGACATTGCTTGTGCTTTAATTGTGTGTTTCTCATGTTGAATGCTGATTCTGTTGTGAAAATTAATGTTCCCCAGAGAAAAATGAGGTTTTTGATTACTGAAGGTGCTTTTGTTGAGGAGCTGTCCGGTGAGCAATGCTAAACCAACTCAGTTTTTTTTATTCCACATATTCTTACTATTTGATTGGTGAGGTAAAAAGGTACGAGATTAAGACGCCAAATCACTTGCCTTTTGTGTCTTCTATCTAAAGGTCCAAATGTTGGCCACTGACAGTGCTAGGTTGGTTTAGCATTTATCCTTTTCTGATTGCTCAATGTTGAAAACTGGGGGACATGACCTCAAGATATCCCAAAAAAGGAAAAAAAAAGTTGTGGGGCGTCCTTCCAAAAAAGCAATAGTTGTTGCTTGTTAACAAGTTAAATCACTCAAACGATGTTCTCTTTGCTGTACTTTCTGTATGCTTGAGTATGTTCTAGTTTTGCTTTGCTACCAGAAGTTCCTGTGGAATCTGATAAGGAAATTTCATGAGAAGTTGTAACATAACAATATTGAATCTTCTTCAGGAACTTGTTCTCACAATGATTCGTTTGTGCTTCTATTTGATTCATTTGAGTCCTTGAGAAATTGGAATTGATAGAGAGCTAGCATTATGTGTTCCAAAGCTTTTGCTTATGTGACTTTTTGTCGGTGTATATCTGGCTTTCATGTTCAGGATAGGTAATTTGCTTGTTCAGATTTATCATTTTTCAGAAGTGTGACTCATATCAGATGAACTTAAGTTACAATTTTTTGAAGGAACTTTTTGTTTGTGGTATGTCATTTTTGTTATCTGGTTAAAGTTGCCATGTTGTATGAAAGGTAAACCTTAATGAAATGATTTTCAAGAATGAAGTAGAACTTTCCAACTTAGTGCTCATGCAGAGTTCAATTCGTGGTGCAAATGGCAGTTAGGGTGGAACTGGTCACTGCCTGAAGGTGGAGGCAAGCCTTTTTGAAAAACTCTTTCTTAATGAAAGGCCTACTAGCACAGGCTTTGGACTCTGTTCAACTTATTTCTTCGTTTCCTCGAGGAGATGTGGGTGAAGCTTTCATGCTTCAATCCTTGAAGGTTGCCATTTGGGGATTATAGTTGAATCATTGCTGTGAAAATTGTGGAGAATTATTGTCACTCAAGAACAAAAGAAATACATATACAGGGAAATAATTGAAAGAACAATATGATTTGAATAAAACTGTCATACCACTATAAGCCTTTTCATGGTAACTGAAGTACGTAAAAACGGTGCATATTGTTCCTAAACTATAGAGTATTGAGCTCTAAAAATGAAGCAGTTATTGGTTCAGATGTGATAAAAGACAAAGAAAATCTTGTCACCTGTTCCCTCCTTCTGTTAACCCTATCTTGTTTAGTGTTCTTGACATGGGAACTATACTTGTAAAAAAAGGATAATCCTCTATTAGGTTGCTAAGGATGATACTCCTGTTTGATTGACAAGTTCAAATTGCTAGTTTCAGTATCATCCTTAAATGGATTCATAGCTGCCGTTTACCAAGCCCCAAAAATAAGCCCAGACAAAGTCATGCACAAAAGAAAAGAAGTCCAACATCTTGAAACCTTTTCTGGTGAATAATGCAATGGTAGGCTTGTTGATCATTGTAATGAAGAAGTTTAATTGATTGAGAAGTTTTTATGAAGTATTTTAAGAGAATATTTCTAGATGTTTGAATGGTACAATGAGCATGTTTAGCACTTTCAATAACTTGACAGGCAAATAGCATTATTATAGGTTCCTGAATGTGTGGTAAGTTGAATTGTAGAAAAAGAGGCAGATAGACATATACTTTTATTAAGTTCATAGTTTTATAACTGGATTTTACCAGCAAATCAGCCTCTTGGACAAATAGCTGGCTAGAGTTGTGCTCTGGTTTGCTTTAGAAATTTGTTGCATACATGAAGTTTATTTTCTGTTCGGGATGTGCAGAGAGCTGGAATCTGTTGTCGATACTTGGTACCTTTTCCCTCTGCTTAAGTCATTCAACATTGTCAACCTGGGCTACCATAGATATTCAAGACTTTGTTTCTCTGACCCCTGAGCTTGGTCTCTCTGGGTGAAGCGTTGGCATGACAAATTGACTTGGGTCTACCTGAATTTGCACAGCAAAAACTTCAGGCTCAACATTCAGTTGACTGTCTGGTTTAGTTTGATACCTGAAAATTTTTGCCCACACTTCATTCCAAGAATTTTTTCTGCCATCAACAACCCTTTTTGTTCCCTAAGGTGGGGTGAGGGGAAGGCTGAAGGAGCTTCAAACCAGATAGTTCTTATCTAGGCAAAGCTTGACACTGCCACTTAACAAAGACCTTTGGTTCATCAACAAGCTAAATCTTTTCTACTCGCTTTAAGTAGCCTGGAAACTGATCTTATAAAGGAAAGTCAGAAAGAATGAAAATAGGTGACACAAAGAAAATGATCAGTCTACTTGCTTTGCTAGACTGGAATGACACTCAACTAAAAAGTGTCAATTCCAATTCAAGACAAGCAAAAAAAATTCTAGGATTAAGTTCAGCACCTTTCTCCATAATTTGATGTCCTTGCTGTTTTAAGAAATCACTAAGAGAAGATCATTTTCTTGCATCTCGAAGCTTGATTTTCTTTTCTACCGAATTCCACGTTTGGAGGGGCCTTAAGATTCGCACTTGTATGTACATTTATGTGGAGAGATCTGATTATCCTGCTTGAAGATATGTTATGTGCTTCAAAACCTTCCGTAGGAGTAAGGTTTTGTATGAATAACTGATTTCAGAACCTTGTCTACTAGAAGCTTATAAGGGAGCTTTGAATTTGATTGTTAATTTTTAACAAAATTGTCAGTGGAGCTATTGATTTGTCTGCCTGTTTACTACTGATAAAAATTCAAAAACATGATTGCAATGGGAACATCATACCATCTTTGGAGTTTTAGATTCTCAGGGAAAGTTTCTGACTCCCCTTATCTACCAAAAATTGAAGCAGGCGATAAAGAAGACTTTCTAATATTGCATTAATGCCACACCTTGGTAGGACTGCAATTTGCACTTTACATTCTCTTCTCGTGGTTCGACTAATTTGCCATCCAAGTGGTTAAAAGTTTATTGCGTCCCTCATTCAAGAATCATGATGTCTAGTCTTGCAGACTGACTGCTTGGATCCTTGCTTGGAGATGAATCTGGTTCTGATGGACAATTGCGATTTGCAGCGCATCTTTGTGTTCTTTATAGCTTCACGATGCCAGTGATGTGGAAAATTACAGTAGATTCCACTGTCATCCTATTACTGTTTGTCATTCAGTTGGTGTTGTTGAGTCATAGTTGCAATTTGCTTAACCATGGTCATGTTGTGTTAAACTGAAAATTCTTGACTTTCCATGACTTGTAAGTCATGACGTTGCCTTTTTAAAAGACCTGTTTTGATTTCACGGAATCTGTTTTGATTTTGTAGTGTATATTATTACAGGGTATGATATGGCAGCTCAGCATAGGAGTAGACTAGTCTCCACTTTGACCCTTGTATCTCTTTTGAATGTAATAGTCTTTTGGGCTGTTTACCGATTTTGGTGATTTTGCAGGTATGTTGCTGTTGGAAATGAACCTTTCTTGTCCACGTATAATGGAACCTTCCTAAGAACAACTTACCCTGCTTTACAAAATATTCAAGCTGCCCTGATAAAAGCAGGTATTAGCAATCAAGTGAAGGCCACGGTTCCCCTTAATGCTGACGTCTATGAAAGTCCAAATGGCTTACCTTCTGCTGGTGATTTTCGAGCTGATATCCATGATTTTGTGCTTCAGATAGTCAAGTTGTTGAGTGATAATGGTGCCCCCTTTACTGTCAACATTTATCCATTCATTAGCCTTTACATTGACCCCAACTTCCCAGTTGACTATGCCTTCTTTGATGGAAATGCATCACCTGTGAATGATGGGGGCACAAACTACTACAACATGTTTGATGCAAATCATGACACTCTTGTGTGGGCTTTACAGAAAAATGGGTTTGGCAACCTTCCTGTTATAATTGGAGAAATTGGTTGGCCCACTGACGGAGACCGGAATGCTAACCTAAATTATGCACAACGGTTCAACCAAGGTTTCATGTCTCATGTGTCAGGTGGAAAAGGAACGCCGATGAGGCCTGGACCCATTGATGCATATCTCTTTAGTTTGATTGATGAGGACGCCAAGAGTATTCAACCAGGGAACTTTGAACGTCACTGGGGAGTGTTTTATTTTGATGGTCAACCAAAATACTCTCTTAACCTTGGGACAACAAATTCAGGTTTGGTCCCTGCAAGAGGTGTACAGGAACTGGAAAAGAAGTGGTGCATATTGAAGCCGGATGCCAAGCTTACTGATCCACAAGTGGCTCCCACGGTGAGCTATGCATGTTCACTTGGAGACTGCACAAGCCTCGGATATCAGACATCTTGTGGAAGTTTAGATTCTCAGGGTAACATTTCATATGCATATAACAGCTACTATCAGATACACAACCAGCTTGATAGTGCCTGCAAATTCCAAGGTCTTGCGACCGTCACACGATCAGATCCATCAGTTGGAAGTTGCAAATTTTCCATACAGATTAAGCCATATTATGGGGCTGCTGCACACAGATTAAGCAGCATTGAGAAAACACTCTGTTCGATTCTTTTTCTAGTTCTCTTTCTGTGGACGACGCAGTGAGCTCTAACCTAATCTCTAGCAATCTTATTGACTTCTTAGGAGTAGATGTTGAAGCTGGTTGGCGAATCAGCAAAAATGTACCGTTAAGAAGTAAATTTTTTCTGGTGCACTTTTTCTAGTTTGAAGTAAATTCCAGCTAGCTACTGTTAAGAAGAAGATCATTGTTTTGGGCAGATGCATGAAGGCTAGCATTGATTCCAACTTCTTATCTGCTTTCTCGGGTCTACTTTCCATGACAGATGTTTATCCATTCCCGAATTTCTTCTTAATGCAGCCTAGGTTATGTTTTACTTTGCATCCTTATTTTACTTGTTCTCCCTTATTGTGGTAACCTAGACTGCCTAGATTGTACTCTCCTGGAATATCCAGTGCTTCTAGCTGATGGCCTTTTATATTTCGAACTCATATTTGGGGTACTGAATAAATTGACACCATGAATCAATTTATCTCTCCAACCATAGACACCCCTGTGTATGGCCCAATGGTGCTAAACGACATATTCTGAAAAATTACACTAGAAAAACAAATGCTCAACAGGCTCAGCATGTCTTGCACATAGCAAACAAGAATTAGTTACTTCACACTAGCCTTTGATGCACATGAAAGATGATTTAATGTATGTGAAATAAAAAAAATAATTGAAAACTGTGTTCACTGAAAACGTCAAATTTTTTTTTTTAGAGAAAAATGGTAATCCAAACAAAGGTGTTTCTCGAAAGATTGTTCATTGTTTCTTACGAAAGATAAGAATGAACGTGAAAATCGTTAATATGCAAGAAAAGAAAGTTTGATGCGTATTTCCATATTCTGGATATAATAAAATTGGCCAAAAAATAATAAATTTTAAAACTAGATCAAAGTTGTAAATTCGAGTCTCCGAATTTGAACGTTCATTTCACCAAAAATGTCTAATTACGTACATAAACTGAATTACTACGAAATCTTTTGCATTAATGGATGAATTCGAGAAGACATTGAATCTACCTGCGAGGAAAAACATTTGAACCTGATCACAAAATAACCTTAAGAAAAGGCATGGAAGAGGCATGGTGCCTATCATGGATCATATGCATTGGTAGTGAGCGTTGGAGCTATGACCAACCATTGGTATGCTAGAAAAGAACTTTGGCATGCTTCTCCCTAATTGCTTCTTTAGTATGGGATCTGCTGCGATTTTGCTTTCCAGTCATCCTACTGATAGATGGCGTGCTGGATTTGAACTAAAACATGCACGTCATCAAGTTTTCCCTTTCAATTTGAGTCTTTTTGGGCCCGTAATTACCTCAGATTAAATGCATCAAGTCCTTTCTTGCCTCAGTCCTAACCGTTTTCCAAGTCGATCTCCCTCGGTGTTGAAGTCGGCAAAATTAATTGCCATGTCCAGTCATTATAGATGTCCCTTATTTTAGTTAGTATCAATTTGCATGAAGCCATATTATGGAGCAGCAGATGACATGATTACTACAAAATGAGTCAAGGTTTAGTTATTTTGTTAAAGGGGCAGCCTTTATTTTTGTCAAAATGAAGTTTTCTTTGATCCTGCTAGACATCTGCAATTAACAAAATTATGGTCATTCAACAACAGTATTGATAAGATTGCCAGACATCACATCTGGTCCTGACTCATAAAGCAATGGATAAAGAAGCTTGAAAAGCATACATACATCTCATGGAATGGAAGATGCAGAAGGTAAGAAAGGACTCTCATGAGCAAAGATGTAATTGGAGTTCACGCTCTGAAAGCAAACCTAACTACGTGCCCTTGGCTCTTTTATCCTTCCTGTGTCTGAACAATTTCATTTCTTCACATCTTTGCTGTTCAAGAACAAGTCCAAGCCTAATATATTCCTGACTACCAGTGCGCATTCGAGCACGTTTGCATACTGGCAAGAAGCCAGAAACTTCTTGATGGAATGCAGAAGAATTTGGACCTGACCGATGAATGTATGGAAGCATCAATTAAGTAGGACACTGGAGAGATTTGGTGACAGTTCAAGAAGTGTTTGGTATGAATTGGCTTACTTGGAGGCCAGTAATAAGATCAGTAGGGGTGATAGAATTTAGCAAAATTGCTTTGGATTCAGGTTTCAAATGCAACAGTGCTGTTTGGTACACTCTTGTGAATGTTAAGCAACAGAACCGAAATCCATGGAATGATGCTATAAAAAATCAAGCAAGATATCTTTTTCTGTAATAGAATATGACTTCTTGATTTTTATTTTTTCTAAAAGATAAAAACAGCTTCCTGTAATTGCTATAAAGAAGTTACTTGAAGTAGATCACCACATGTTCATAATCATCCTCCAAATAGGTTATAGCCAGTTCAGCCCTTTTCTCAAGAACTGGATATGTGATTCAGAAAACCGTTTCAAATTTGCATTTTGTTTTTGGGTAAGTTCAAAATCGCATCTCGAAGTATAATTGTACATATGATTAATACGCATACAACTTCTCGATGGCATATAATTATACATATTGATCAAGAAAACTAAGAAATTTTTATTTAAAAATTGGTCAAATAATTTAAAAATAATATTTTTGTAAGATATAATATTTTTGAAAACAAAAGATCTTTTATTCATAGTTTTTACATGAAAACTAATGCATTATCAAATATAAAAGTTAAGAGCATATGACTGAAAATTATTTTAGAAAACCAAGTTATCATTGGTTAATGTTAACCAGTTTTTTCAATTTAATCCATTTGTAAAAAGTAAAGAGGGGATGACGTGAATGCAAGAAGCTTGAAACCTCTTTGACACTTTTCGCCAAAAAAAAAAAAACAGAAATTATTTTTTCCTAATAAAGTTTTTGAGTATTAGTATCCTTTTTTTCCCCATATCATAGCATTAATACTAACATTGCATACTCCTAATAAGGACCAAAACAATTTATTTCAGGTAATAAAAGAATACTACAAAAAAAAAAAAAGAGAGTAAAACCCAACTATCTAGCACAAGGGTAAGAAAAATACAAACAACCCTACATACTAAATCCACACCCTATACACTTATTAGACTCTTATACCCTTGACTTTTCTACATTAAATCAACACTTTTTTTATGATATTTAATTATCTTGCTATGTAATAAAGAGAAGGAATAATAACATCATTTGTCAGATAACAAATTCACGCCTAAATCTTTGTTTAACCCTTATATAAAAATTTCTTCTCTTGTTTCTCTAGTTCCAAAATTTATGTTTATCTAAAGTTGTTTTAATTTTTTTTTCTCTTCCCTCTTATGACCTACTATTTTTTTTTTAATTTAACTTTCTTTAGTACTTAAATGTACTCAAATAGTAAATATTAGTATGAAGTCAATTTGATTGCATATTTCACCCTGAAACTTGCTTGATTTTAATTTACGGAAATTGAAATATGTGAACATTTCTATTTACTTGCTTATTAGTAATTGAAAATTTTGGATTGCTAAATTAAATGTTAAATTACTAAATATTCTTAAGCCCTTGTAAAATATTCAAAAAAAATTTCTTTTACAATTTAACCATTTGTTTTTTCTTTTTTTTTATATAATTATATGTTTCTTGAAGCTACATGAAGCATCAAATGAAATTAAAATCTTAGGGCACAAGTGTCTAATAAGTGTATAAGGTGTGAATTTAATATGGCGGGGTGTGGATTTAGCCCCTCCCAAAAAAAAAAATAAAAAATAAAATACTACTGCAGTTTTGTTCTAATCTAATCTTGATTTAAATGGCCTTCCGCCAAGCTATTAGTATTTGGAAACTGTCCCCCAACTATAACCTATAGTATTTTGGAACACCATATGCATACATGCACGTTTGAAAATATTGAAAATCCAATATTGGAAGTTTGAAGGAAGCTCGCTGAGAGATTGAATTGTAGGACAAATAAATGTTCAAATTCAAAGGGTACTTGTAAGCCTTCCAAGCTATGCCTGTTAAGTAGTAACTTCACTCTTGGATTGATTCTACCGTTGCTGGTGCTTTGGTCCAGTTTTACCTAGTTCTCGTATCTGCTGCAATATTTGATGTAAAACAACACCAAATTATTATACAAGAGAAAACCCTAAACCCTAAATCATAAATCCCCAATCTCCAAACCCTTAACCTAAACCCTAAAACCTTAAAACCCTAAACCCGCTGTAGCAGTTGGTTGTGAAAATAGGCTTCCACCACCGTCACTGTCCAACAGCCACAAGGGGGCCCCACTCTAAGAGAAAAACATCTAAACCCAGCTTACGTCCAACCTCACTTGGACCTACTTCACTGATCACATAACCTGTAAAATCCCCAAAATACCCCAAAACGTAAAAGGATAAAAATACAGAAAAAACGTTCATCACACCGATCCCTGTAGGGGTGTGCAAAATCGAAAAATTCCAATTTACTGACCGAATTTGAATTGAATTTGAAATTTTTGAAATCGGTAATTCGGAATTCGGCATTGAAATCGAAATTTCTGATTTCGAATTATGTGAATTTGGTTCGAATTCGATAATGGAGTTTTTGAAATCGAAATTTCTGATTCCGAATTCATAATTTGAAATCGGAATCGGAAATTCCGATTTCAATTTCATTTTATAATATATATATATTAATATTTATTTATTTATATATATAATAATATTTTTTATTTCAATTTCGTTTTATATTATGTATATTAATATATATTTATATATATAACAATATTTTTTATAATATATTTATATATAATAATATTTTTATAATATATGCAATATAAAATTTATATTATATAACAATACATCTAACAAAAAAGAAAAAAAAGGAAAAAAGGTTTCCGAATTCGATAAATTTGGAATTTACCGAATTCCGAATTGAATTCGGAATCGAAATCGAAATCGGAACTGGTGAATTTGAAATCGAAATCGGTCGGTAATTGCTATATCAAAATTCCGAATTCAAACTTCCAAATTACCGAATTCAAATTCGATGCACACCCCTAGATCCCTGTCCCTTCTGTATTACGCGTTGAACTTTCAACCCCCTTGATTCTCTCTCTCTCTCTCTGTAAAACCAAATCCAAAAAAAAAAAAAAAAAAAAAACTAGTGGTTTGTAATCTTTCTTTTCTTTGTCCAAATCCCTGCTCCAACTCCACGGTTCACCGCTTTACCCCCTGCTCGGTTCACCGCTATATCCCCGGAGAGTACTAGTTGTATTTTGATTCCTAATCTCACAGTTCTTTCACTAAAAGCCACTGCTGACTACAGCTATAGAAAAAGGGGTAGAAGAGGCAGAGAACTGATATTTATTCCAAACTTGGGATTTCTCTCAAAGAAAAGAATTTTAAAA